CAGAGCCTAGACGTTTCGCAATCAAGATCTGAGGGTTTGTGCCGTAGGCCCAATTTTACCTTCATCTTTATTCTCGTCCAATTAGCTGGTACTATAGTTAGGGCGAGTCAAACTTTTTCGCCTCGTTCCTCTACTTGCCCAATTCTTTTAAATTGCATTCCTTTCCTATCTTCTTTTTTTTCCCCTGGATAAAAAGATCGCATCAAGGGTTTCTTTTTGCTGCCTTCGCACGCGGGGTTTTAGGTTGTTTGGTGGTGGTGGGGGGAGGGGGAGGGGGGGGGGAATGTTGGGCAAACGATTTTTTGAGTCCTCTCCTTGAGTCATTGGTCTTGTAATCCAGGCTCTATTGGAGCATCTTTTTTGCCACTTAAATTGATGAAAAGAAGAATTAAAAGTTCCATAGGAAATACTCCTCCATGGTTTCGAAATCGTGCCTAAACCATGAAAATTTTGGCCGGATTCAGCACAGTAATAGTGACACAGAGTAACAGAGGGTGAATTGTCACTTCTTGTACCCCTTTAGAGCTAATTTTGCGTAAAACATTGACATAATCGGTGGTAATCGTTAATTTATTTGATCCATAAGTGACGCAGAGGATTATGGATGTTAATCCTAGTTAAAAATGTATTAATGTAATTTAAAATCACTATAGGATTGTAGCGCAAATACTTTGAGCTCTTGATGGTACTTCCAGCATTCGCCTCACATCGATCTGAGCATGTACTTCAGCATTGATCCATCATCATCTGCCTGCGTGGTAATTCGATTACTTGATATAGATTGTGGTTTGTTGCATTGTCAGTTTGCTCCATTGCTCTATCCTGAGCTTGTTACATAATTAACTCGCTATGGGACATTTATCACAGAGCAATCTCGTCTTTTATGCAAGAAAGACGTCTGACTCACTCTCCATACTTGTCTCCTATTTCCCTTAGAACAAGATTTTTTGTTCACAGTATTCAATTTTTTATGTTCTTATCAAGAGAGAAGCTGTACACATTCGATCCTAGGTGATAAGATATTTGATCTGGGGTGTGCGATAGACTTACCTCCACGTGATGCGCCCTGGGCAACGTATACACCTGCGGCAAAAAAGTCTATAAACCGGCAGTTGACTTCTGACTTCAAACTACCATGACCCCACTGTATGTCATATTCGATCACTTCCGCAGTACTCAGACTACCTTTTCCTTGTCTTTGTGTCTGTCTCCTTTATATCTTTGAAACACTCTTCTGTTCCCCCCCCCTTCCTCTCGACCTTTTCACTTTGATGTTCCTTCCTCTCTGTGAAGCCTGAAGAACTCTGTGAAGCCTGAAGTCAACTAAAGGGCTAATGATAAACATCAAAACGCCTGCCAATTGATATAAATAATGTTTCCGATCTTGAATTTGACCAGTTCTACACCAAATGTCTTTCTGGAATTTAGTTCTGAAAAAAAAATATTTTCCAACCTCGTGATCTAAAAACATGTCTCAACACTCTTCCTGGAAGGCTAACTCTGCCCTTATCTATACTTGAAAATTAAAATATCAATTAAAAAATGTAATTAAATATCTGTTCTAATAGTCAAATGCTATCCAAAACGGTTTCTCAGTATTTAATTGAAAAAAAATGAAACAATATTAGTAAATTAGAGCTTCAAAAGGCCAATAAGTGAAATAAGTCGGGATGTTCTCTACTTTGCCAAATAAAAGCTTTCTCAATTCAATTCGAAATATTCAAGTGACCATGATTTTTTTCAATTTGGTCAAACCATTCATCATCATTCGTAACACCGTACAGGCATGATGAAATTTGTTAGGCGATATGATGATTTTTGGTGAATTTTGACAAAGTTGCTCTCTCACACCTTTGGCAATGCGTACGCTCGCATATCTTGCATTAACAACCTCCTTTTGGGTCAACGACACAAGTGCCAACCAAATTTCAGAAATCGTAATTAATTTCTTTATCGCAACGAAAAAAAGTATATAACACATTTTGGGGTGGGGGGAATTGAACTGACTGGGCTTCGTTGTGTCTTTAGACAGCTGTTTTTACCATTTCCTCTGGACATTCCTAGTAGCCGTTTTATAGTCATATCACATTTCAAGAACCAAGTGCAATTTTATTCCGCGCTCACATTTTCCCAGTTCCAAATCACCTCAGAATTCTGGTAGAAGACGGCAAAGCCTATTCAAGAGTCAAATCACCGTTAGTCAACAGTTTTGTAACTAATAACAACATATTCCCTTCCACTGGCCTTCAAAAAGAAAATAGTATCCTGATAAAAATCAAAATTTATAAAATACTTCCCTAGGAAGGTGGTTGAAGCGTCACTAAAGAGGAATACTGCGTTGAAACGAATGGGCATAAACAATAACACACACTACACCAAGGTCATATCTTGAATGAATTATTAAAAACCTCCTAGAATTCGAATTACTTCGCCAATGACTGCATCTAATGGCCTACCTCTGCTTGACAAAAAGAAAGAATTTCGAGAATTATAAGCTAAAACAACAAATTGGCACATGCTGAACTCCGTTAGGCTTCAGTGACCGAAGATCTTAACAACAACCAACAGGAAAACAATAGCTTTTGCCAAGAGGAATTATACGCACAACGAAGTGGACAAAGTGGTTTCATTCATTAGGCAGATAATGATAATTAATGAACTGTCTTGAAGGCAAAATTGAAAAAAATGCGAAAGTTAAAGAATTGGAAGAAGTAAAGACAGCTAATGGTATGATAGAGTGGAACCTTTCCTTCGAGACGCTTCCAAATTATCCCGATTTTAAATAACAATTTACTTGTTTTTTTTACTCTGAAACCGAATTTTTGGTGTAAATACCTCTATCACATTTCAAGAACAGAGAGCAGTTTTATTACATGTCCAAACATTTTTCACTTTCAGAGCATTCCATAAAGGGCTTGCAAAGCAAGTATATATTTAAATGTCATCGAAATAAGACTTTTGCCAAGAGAAGGTTGCACACGAAAAAAAAAGAATTTTTTTATCAAAATAGCGCCCGTCTAGCATAATTTTGAATTTCATTGTATTTTTGGCCTTGAATATTCGTTCAGAGTACCTACTGATTTATTTCATTATCATTCAAACTTCTGCGTAGAAGAAAGGACAATAAACGACTTTTATTGATGTTTCTAATTGATTATGAAAATTCGATTAGCACTTGAACAGTTAAACCACATGACTACTCAAGGTTGACAATAAGGATAATGGAGCGGGAATAAGCAAGCAAATTTTCCTAATAATAAGTCTCTATATTCCTTTTTCCTATTTTTAAGTTAAAAATTCCCAAATAAATAAATCGCCGCAATTTCGTTTCTAATGGATATATATATATATCACTAAGTAATATTTTCGGTTTTAACCTTTAAAATTCGTCTCTATCAAAGTCTTTCTTAATTTAATATTTCGAGATGCGAGCGTTGCCATATTTGTTAGTCGAATATATTTCCTTTTCAATCATAGATTTAAAAAATGATGATTCTATATGACTTAGCAGCTTGCTCGATCACAGCATGGCAGAATGCAGTAAGTGGTACAGGTTCACACTTTTCTTATTTCTTGCAGTTGCCATCAATCGATATCAATTAGCCAATACAAAGTAAGGAAAAAAATATTAAAATTCATCTGCTTTGTTACGAGTCATAGAAATTAATAACTGGGATGGTTGCTTGTATCATCTCAGCAATTTTTCTCGATTTAGTAGTCAATATATAAAAAATTGGCATAACGTAAGCTTACTTTCTTAAGAAAATAATAACATCCATCTGTTCATATTTTTCTGTTGGCTTGTCATTTTTATCTACAAGAACTAACGCCCACTTTTAGTTATTTAAGCGCACTCTATCTTCTAATTTGAATACCCTACCACCTCTAACTTTTTTTCTAGCAAAGCAAATCCCAGTGCGTCACTGTCTTTCCAGTAGACAATGGCATAAAAAAGGATCATTCGCCCAAATTTAAGAACTTAAAAGGAATTTACTGATTCCAATCTTGCCAACGGCTGTCCTTGTTAGCATTAAGCGATTTCAGATAGTAGGAAAGTACAGATTTTGACATGACTACCCATTACACTTTTTCTTAACTTCGGAGCCAAATGTTGTACGCGATATCCAAACGTTGATTGCACAAAAGGAGAAAGTAAATTAATAATCGGAAATTTCTCGGGGACCCATTTAATAAAACAAAATGTAAGAATGGGACTAACGGAATGTCAAATTCTATATTATTATTAAATCGATTCTAGAATAATAAATGGTGTAATGAAGGGGTCCATGAAGGTTAATAACTATCTATTTTCATTATTTCGATACTTGCAAGCTGTTGCTTGTAGTGTCAGATTCTAAAAAAACATACCCCTGAAAACATTTCCCTCCAAAGCCTTGAATAGCGAAATGTATGTCCATAGAGAGACAAAATGTTTGTCTAGGCACCAAGTTTTAAGAAAAATACCAGCGAACTATTGAGTCACATCTTTGTCGTTCACGTTAAATAAAATCGATTTAATTCAAACAAAGAATGATTTATTTAACTTATTATGTACTGTTTAAGCTAAAATATCTGACCAATCAAACTTAAATAAAAGATTTATTTTTCGTTTCAAAAAGCGAAGATATTTTATAGACTTTATGATGAATCAATTTTATAAATTCCAAGCACATATAAACAACTAAGTTTTGGAGAAATTCGAATATCCGAATTCTGTAACACCAGGAGAGAAAACGAATATAAAAAAGGTATTTTCCATAAAACTTAACATATTCTAAAGATGCCTTTTTACCAAACCCCTTTAATGACTAACATGGAGAGAGGTGTCGTTTTTAAACATTCTATTTTTCAGAATGCTTTATTTTTCTATTCTTCACTTATTAAAAGAAGCGTGTTGTCTGCTGCTTTGACAGATTACAATTACCAAATATCGAAAAAGGGACATCACCAAATTGAAATGTCTAAACATCAAAACAAGGTGGTGAAGAGAGTCAGTAAATCTTATCTTAGTAAACGATTTCGGACATTTTCAGGGAAAATTTACATAAATGGCTGAAATTTCCCTCGATGCATTAAATTAAAAGCACCGAAGCCTTTAAGCAATTTAATATAAATCTTCCTTTTATCTCTCACTCTATTCAGAAAAAAATCTCAACCGCATTGGATTGATTTTTCATCGTGAAGATTTGCAGCCGATCGGTGAGGGACCAATCATTACGGCTGTCGCCAAAATTATTCCCTACCGACAAATCTCTATTGATATTCTTCCCTTCCTTCAAAATGTCGACAAGGCACTTCGGTTTCTGCCACCTCTCTTCCAAGCAGCCAAAGCTTGTCTAATTATTTTTGGCTTTTCAAAATCTCGCCGAATCCTACGAACCGGTCTAAATCGTACCTGCGGAAGACCAAAGTACTACAGTAGAAATCCCTTGGAGAAGAACATTAAGATGGTAGAGAATTCAATACATCCAGATAACGTTGATCGATACGAAAGTATTCCCTTTAATGTAGTTTATAGTAGCACTGCCTTACCTCAATTGGAATCCCAATCTAAGGTCCCAGTGTATGCCAACTTTGAGGATGTGCAAGAACTTTCTGTGTGATATGCAAGACTAAATCGATTTTTTTATAATAAATTGAGAATAAAAAATCACAAGATGATGGTCTTTTGTAAATGGAGCTAGGAGTTTTTCGGGAGATTTAAATAAAATTGCAATTCCGAATTATCAACACTTGGTGGAATTTTGTCCTGATTAAGATTTATTTGAATTCAATAAATAGAAAGTAAAAATTCCTTTTTTTACCAAATAAGAGACCAATTGAAGTATATCGGCTTTACACAAAAATTGAAATTGGGCTTTAGAGCCACCAGTTAAAGGATTACTCAGGTCAACATCAAGGTTAATTATTTTGACGAATTCTTGATGCGGCAAGCACTTAACACTGATCTCTCCTAATAACATTTAGGTCCGGTTCAAAAGCTATGAATTATCCAAATATGCAAAATTCATTTATTTATTTATATCAAATGACAGGCGTCTTGATGGTTATCATTACCCCTTTAGTTGACTTCAGGCTTCACAGAGGGGAAGAAACATCAAATTGAAAAAAGTCGAGAGGGGGGGGGGACAAAAGAGTGTTTCGAAGATGTAAGAGACAAACACAAAGGTAGAAAAAAGGTAAGAAGAGTACTGTGAAAATAGTCGAATATGGTATAGAGTGAAGTGGTGGTAGTTTGA